CTTTTGTGTATTTGTGATACTAACAAGATGAAGAAACAATAACCACTAGATTCAATTGAAGAACTATTACTTGTTGACTTATCGAAAAAAATATTGTGATTGTTACAACCTTGAAGATGATGTAATTGAAATGAAGATCCTCAACAACAACACGTTCTTCCTCAAATAGGTGGCGAGATACAACATGTTTGATATCACGACTTTAGAAGAGACTTCTAATGTATGGTAATTTTATTAGAGGTAAGAACAATTCTTGACAATATTCTAAATATTTTATTTGAAAGAAGTTACGAAGGCCTCAATAATGATTAAATAATAAGGTGGTCTTCCTGCCTTGGTATGAAATACTATCAATAGCTGAAAGGACTTATTAACCATCTTCAAAGAGAATAAAGATCAGTATATGTGGCAAATATAATTTGTCGCATCTTGGATTTTCTCAATATATAATGATTGCTCCTCATAGAACTTCTCTCTAAAAGGAGAGGTAATATCATGGATATACATATTTATTCTAATATTTATCTATATGATTAAATAGAAGTAAAAAAAAATATTTATTTCATAACATTTTTTAGAGAAACTTCCTAAAAGCTTCATAGATGTTGTTTTGACTTTACATATATTTATAATCAATTTGTAGGTTAGAAACTTCGTTAATAAGTTAACCACCTATTGATAGCTTATGAAACAAGCTAACTAAGTGGTACATATATAAAAACCTTGCCTTCAAAGTTAAAATACATGAATTGCAAAGTCAACACATTTTGGAGGTTCTATAGGACATTGCCACAATTCCTAGTTAAGAATACATATGGAGGAAAGAGTGAAGCTTTCTTCAATCTTATCAACACCTTTTCAATCCTTAATCTTGTTTCAAGATTTTCTAATCTTCTTGTCTTCGGTAATAGCCATTCTTATTTAATACTATTCCATCTTTGAGTGATTTTCTTGTCTTTTTGAGTAACACAAGGGTGTACTAAGGTTTTCTTTCTTTTAAATTCATATCCTTGATATGTATTTAATATTTTTTTATAATTAATAATTTATTAATTTAATTAAATATTTTATTATAATTTTATTTTTAAGTCATATTAAAGATGATAGATATCTAACTCTAATTTAAAATTTTACACAAATAAAAATTTTAAGATGATATTTAATTAAAAACTAATACAAATAAAATTTTAAATTGTTACAAATGTGTTGAAATGTATTCCTTTTCTATTTTTTTTAAAAAATATGTTATTAAAAATATTGATATTATTCAATGAGCACAAGTAATATAAATATTTATAAATAAAATTAATAAATAATATTTTTAATAAGAAATGGTAAAAGAATTTAGATAAAAATAGGATCTATGGATATATAATAAAACCATAGTAATTTTCTTAAAAAGTTTTCTATTTCCTAAAAATCATTGTAGAAGCATCTTAAAAATTATTCATTTTATCTCCATGTTTAACAATCCATAATAAGCTTCGAAATGATCGTTTTTTAGCTAATATATAAAAGTAAGATTGAAAATATCCTCAATCTTATCAAAATATATCTTATATTCTAATCTTATTTTAAAACTTATTATAAACTTGATCTTTAACTATAATTATTCTAATAACTCTTTAGTTTATAAAATATATTTTATTTTGGTTTAAATTCTTTATTCTTGGTTTTATATGAATATTTTGTCTTTTTTTAATTTTCTTAAATTCATATTTTTAATTTTTCGACAAGACTAATAATTGTAAGATTAGAGCTTAATATTTCTTTGAAAATAATAAATTTATATGATTTCCTTAGAAGCTTCAAATGACTATAAAAACTTTTATTTAACTTCTATTAAATTAATATGATGACCATCTATGTATATATATATATATATATATATATATATATATATATATATATATTTATATATATAAATTTTTTTATTAAATTTATTTATAGAAAAGTATAAGAATATATAAAGCAAAAATATAAGAATATATAAAAGAATTTTAGCAATGACAATCAACATATAGAATAAATAGTTATAAAAACACAAAGATCTTGCAAGTTTTTACATCAATTGTTCTATCATTAGTGATTTGTTCTTATTGTAAGTCATTAACAAAATATAACAACATATATTAAGAAGTATATTTTTTTATTATAGTTTTTAAAATTTTAAAAAATAAAATTTAATTTATAATTTATTTATAAAAAAATCAAATGATATATTTATATATATATATACACATAAAATATTTTAGAATTATTTTTTATTATAATTTAATTTTAAATATGATAATAAAATAAAATTAATTTTTTTTAAGGTAAATATAATATATTTTAATTAGATATAATATTATTATAAATATATACAAATGATTGGATTTATTCTATTTATTCTTAAAAGACAGATCTAATCTAGTTATAGATTAACTTGATTATAAAAATCTCAAATATTAATTGTCAATAAGAATCTTTAATCATTTTTTGTTTTTTATAGTATATATTTTATACAATTTTTATTTCATATTACATATTGTTCTTGAAATGAAAAAGAACAATTATTAATATAATTCAAATATCTTTGCCTTCTACCAAAAGAAATTCCATATATAGTGAGTATTATTATTATAATTTTTTAAATCTAAAAATTTACATCTTTTATTCAAGACATGAATGAGAAAAAAACTTCAAGAAGACTCTGCACATTTATTTTATTGAAAGAGAGAAAGTATATATAAAAAATAGATATAAAATAAAAATATAATAAAATAGTTGTGCCAATTGTAAAGATCTTAAAGAATTTTAAACCAAGATTAGAATACAAAAAATATGTTAATAAGATTAAAAATGGCCTTTGTCTTATTTTCCAATGTAATAATTATTAAGAAGGTTTATATCAAGGTCATGAATCTTAAAGAATTAAAATATTAATACAGTCTTTTGTCATTCGAAGATGATATGGCATTAAACTAAAATGGCTATTATTAAAGACAAGAAGACAAGAAAGTTTTGAAACAAGACTAAGAATTAGAAAGGTTTTGACAAGAGTGAAGAAGGCTTCACTCTTGCCTCCATATATACTCTCAATTAGGAGCTAAATGGCAATGTTTTACATGACCTCCAAAACATGTTGACTTTAGAAGACATATATCTTTACTTGCAAGGCAAGTTTTCTATATATTCACTACAGAGTTAGCTTGGTCTTCTAGCTACCAACAAGTAATTAACTTGTTGACCAAGTTTCTAAGCTATTAATCAATTATAAATACATGTAAAGTCAATACAACATCTATGAAACTTCTAATAAGCTTTTCTAAAAAATATTATGAAATAAATATTCTTTTATTCACTTTTATTTAATCATATAGGAAAATATTAGAGTAAATATTCATGTCCATGATAGTCTTGTAGAAGCTTTTACATAGACTACTAGGCTTATTTCTTAAGCATGAAGTTGTAGATTGCTTTTAATTCAACCTTTTAATAGCAAGAATATTATTGGATAAGTTTCAATAAGCATGCAACATATCATTATAATTCAAAATATCTAATCCATCTCTATAATACTTCTTAAATGCTTCTTAAGAAATATAATATCTATTTAATATATTTCTACCTATTTTTTTTTAGTTCTATTTATTTCTATTTTCTTAAATAATATAGACATCCATTATATCTTTAAAGGATATAGATATAATAGATATTTATAACATTTAAACAAATAGAAATAAGTAGAAGTAGATAAAAACACACTAAGTAGATAAAAACTTTCTTGATAAATTATATATATATATATATATATATATTCAAATGTGTATTAAATCTATAGATTATTTTAAAATTATCAGGTATTTATAGAAACTTCTTTTATAATTTTTTCACATTTAGAAACCTCTTATAGGATTGATTTACAACTAAGTTGCTTAAACTACAAATCTTTGATTTTTGGGAACTTTTACAAAAAAAGATACTATATATGAAAGCAAGATTATGGCCATCTTTGATTATGTCTTTGCATTCTTTGTATTTTGGTTTAATTCAAGTTTCTCTTATTACTTTTCATTTAATAATATTTACAACATGTTCATCAAGTTCTAAGTCGGTTCCTTCCAACCTCAACTTTCTTTCACAAGTCAAAAAGAATAGAAAAGAAAACAAACAAACAAACAAAAACCAAATTGGGTTCAATGGAGAGCATCTTTTGCCACTTTTGAACTTAGCAACATATCAAATTGGTATTCAAGTGCTTCACATCAGTTGCTAAAGCACACAACAAGAGAAGAAGCTGGTGGTAATTCCTTGCATGAAAATGCAACACTCTCCAGCTCCTCATTAATTGAAACAATGCCATCTCTTGTTTCGACCAACAGCACTATATCTTAGAAGAGGATTCAGGTGAGCAAGGTGAGGAAGAAAAACATGATCAGGTCCAAATCTCTCGACGTGTGAGCTGATCAGGAAAATCAGTAGCTTAACGTGCAGAATGGAGGAGAAAATTGCACCGTTTTATGCTGTTTCTTATCTTGTTGACAAAATTGTATTTTGTGATGACGTTTTAGCGTTGCCGTCTAGTAGGATCACTCAGGCCCTGCAAAGGACTGTATTCATGGGTGTCCTCCGAGAACAGAAGGTCTGTGCATCATGTGTCAGACTGTTGATTACAAGCTTTCAAACCAGCTTTCGAGCGTTGGTTGTTGTAACAGTCGCATGCAGTTCAATGGACTCCTCCATGAGGTCAACTGGGTTGGGAATATCATTGAAGAATATCGGCAGTTGCTCGCTATCTGGTGCCTCTGGTAGTTAAAATCTTGAATAGTGTTTCGTCTCGTCAGTTTCGCTCACTGTCCCTTTGCTATCACATAAATAACTATGTCAGTTTTCAGGTGCTTTGAGTGTCTTATGCAAGGGTGGGCAATGTCAGTTAAGGGCTCAATCCACGTAGGGGATCTCAGTGCATCGGATTAATGTGAGCGACAGCCTCAAGAGGAGCCAAACATTTTGCATTCACAGCCAATTCGCTTTTCCATCACGGAGATTGCAAAACTTTATTTATATGTTCTTACAGCTATGTAGTTTTTATAAATCCGCACGGACCGAGACAATATGGGTGTCGCCAAACATCTTGTGCACACGGCGACAAAGTTCTGTATGCACTTAGGTTGACTATCGATCGTCTGGCTTAATCTATAGAGGACATATCTCCAGTTCTGTAAACTTAGAAATCAAAACGCAGCAACACACCAACTGTCCGACGTAAGAGTAACATGCGTCGCGGCGCAAATGTTTCTATATTGATCGATATCAACACTACTGGCCTCCTGGAATGACGACACCTGCACATATGATAACGGATCGACCACGTTCGTCATGTCACATTGCGCATGAGATAACGGAATGTGCAAAAACAAGACATGAGAACACGAAGGTGAACGACGAGGTTGTAAGACAATCGTACCGTTGCACACGATGCCAGCCTTGTAGGTGAGTTGGCACTTCTGAGGAATGTATTTTGCGAACTCCACTTTGGCGCCTGACTGCTGTTGGCTACTCGCGGCAGCGCAAAGGCAGTCCTCGCCGGTGTTCGTGGCGAAGGAACTCAATGCTCTGCAGCATGCTGCGGAGGGTTGGACGTTCGCTTTCGCCGCCGGCAAGCACGGCGCTAATATCGACAGATTTCTGCCTCCGCATTGCGCTTGGGATTCGACGTTCACCACGGCGCTGAGTCCCACCAGCACCACTAGCAGCAACACGACGTTCATTTTCATCGCCATGATCTAGATCCTAGCAACAGGAATACGCAGACAATAACAAGCAATCGATCACAGCTTGAAGATCTCCTACTGCTCCAGTTGCACCAAAGCTGATATTCATATTTATCTCCGTTACAATCGCTAAGGTTGGTCGACTTTCACATCTTTCAGGATCGTCGAGGTACCACTTACAGACAACTCAGTCACTGTAATGCTAAAGAGCCACCCTACCGATCGCGACACTATTACAGTAATCGTACTCTAAATGTCTAGATTGCAGGATTCATGGCGTCACTTTAGCCTCCATCAAAATTCCAATTACTGAACTGCTTTCGCTATTGCATCAGAAATTTCGTGAAGTACTCACCGTCTGTGACACAGTGCGCCTGTTTTAGCCCGTGGATGGCCGCTGTGCGGGGTACACTTGCGATTGATTTGTGGTGCCTTACTACCCGAAGGATTTAATAATCTGAGTCAGACTGATCCATGGCCCGTTTCGATTTAATCTACCTTAAGGAATCGCTGATGGCCATGGAGTCGACCAGCCGTAGCCTTCCCGCCTTTTATGGGACGCCTACGTGGATGCCAGATCGGATTTTTCAGGGGGTCATCTTGGCGGGAAAAGTTGCCCTCCCTTCGTTCCCGTTTTGCATGCTTTGAGCAGAGGATTATCGGTTTTGCTTAGAAAACCTTTGAGTTTTCAAGGTTAGTTGCTGCGAGCATCCAATTGTAGCAGGCGTAGCGAAATGAAATGCCAGTGTAGAACTTGCTTGCCTCGCAACCGAGTGGTGGTTTTAAGAATTTGGGCCGTTTTGGAGTGTTTATGGTAAACTCGGCAGCTTCGCATTCTGGTTCAAGCTTGGATCAAACCCTATTGTGGGTTTAACAAGACTTTCGGAGGGAGCATCGGTGATGCACTCACGTGAGGAATTGCACCTCCTTGTTCTGCGACGGTTCCATTCTTTTTGGTTTTTAGTTTGCAAATCTTGATCGTGGAGTTGAGAAAAAGGGCGGTTCGTTGTCTTGAGGTGTTCTTGTTGATTGTTCGTCATGGAAAATAATGATGCACTTGACATTGGAGCCGTGTCGTCCCCATATCCTTCGCAATCTGAAGGTACGATTTCTAAAATTTCTGGTCCATTTACTTCACTTCATTGCTATGCGTTTCCTTTTTGTTTGGAGAAGGCTTGGTGTTACAAGATTTTCTCTATATTCACAGTAACTTGGTGGTATGTTGATTAATGGAGTTGTGCATGTGTTCCAGACATGTCTTTGGTTTTATCATGTGCATTGTGCGTCATAAGAGTGCATATTTCTAATGTTTTTTTTTAGTTCGTTTCTTTTCCCTATTGCAGGAGTGTCTACGCCATTGCCGCAAGTAACATCACCGAGCTTCGACAATGCAGCCTCACCCGTGGCCGGGCGGAGGGCCGTACGGCAGACCCCTACATCTGCAGTTCGAAGGAGAGGGAGAGAAACGGATTCCGCTCGTCGTAGGAGGAGTCGATCTCGCAGTTTAGGCAATTCTGTTTATAGTTCCCCTTACGATGCGGGGACTCCTGGAACTCCTGGAACTCCAGTGGCTACTCCGGTTTACGCTACCCCAGTCGGTACACCTATGGGTACCCCATCGTTCCATCGTGGCACGTATCCTTTGACAACCCAATTCTACATTGTCGAATTCCTATCCGACGTCTTCCAAGATTAGTTCTTATGTCTTCAGTTGGTTATTGTGTCTGCCCGTTATGAATTTGAGGGCGTGCTTCTGGATCCAATATATCTATGACAATGTGTTTCGATTTTCTGTGAGAGCAAGTGGTTTTCCTTGACAGCAATTCAGGCCACAGTACAAACAGCGCAGTGAGCTTGGTTCCCAGGGGAAGCCTCTACATCGGAGACGTCGATCTCAATCCAGAGAACCCGGGCATCGATCTCCTTCAAGGGAACCTAGTGCTGATGTACGTGCCTCATTTATCTCATTTGATTGTGGGAGTAAGACAATCGTCATTCGCTTAGTGAATTCCATTGCCTACTGATTCGTGAATGAATTCATTACGAATGTTCGTGAAATATTTCCGTGGATATATTTGTTCGGCTTTGGTATTGTAATGAGAACGGAAAGGTCCCTCCCACCTCCTCCCTTCTCCTTTATTTTTTGATTTATATTTTCCTTCCTGTTTTTTTCATAAACATGTAAATATAATATTTTAAGCATAACATTCTACTTTATGAGTATCTGCTCTTATGTACTCGTGCTTTACAGTAACAAATCTTCTTGATTGGGCAGGGGCGTCCCTCTGAATCTGCTGAGCCAGATGACACTTTGGGTGGAGAATATGCTTATGTTTGGGGGACGAATGTTAACATTCCAGATGTGCTTAGGGCGATTCGTCGATTTCTCCACAATTATCGTTCGAGTGCTCATGATCTTAATTCCAAGTACATCCAGATCATAGAGGAGGTTGGTATTTCCAGTCTAGTCTGGACTTTTAAGTGGTCTGCCTCGGCTATCATGTTTTGACGGAGTATGGTGAATTCACTTCTTGTATAATTGTATAATTTTCTGACCTTCTGATGACTTCAGACTGTGGAGCGTGAGGAGGATACTCTAAATATCGACATGTCAGACATTTATGACCATGATCCTGATCTATACGCAAAAATTGTTCGATACCCACTCGACATCATCCCCCTGTTGGACACTGAGTGTCAGGAAGTTGCTACCTCTTTACTACCAACGTTTGAGAAGCATATTGAGGTTAGCATGCCAGTTTGACACGTAATGATCCCCATCTATTTTTACTATGCATCTACCTTCATCATGGTTGTGTGTTCCGTACCTGCAATAGTTGTGCTAGAATGTTTTAAATTCATACTCTCTGTTCTTTCATATGATCTGCTAAATGGACTCGACTCTCCGGTACCGTAGGCCAGACCTTTCAATCTCAAAGCATCGGTGCACATGCGTGAACTCAACCCTTCAGGTGATTTGAACACATATTTTCCTCGTCACAACTGTTTTCTGTTGCGTCGTTGGAACTTCATAAAATACTTCGTGAACAATTTTTGTCGCATGTATGATGATGTTCAACTGAAGTGGGGTTTATAAGTGGCTAAACGTATCACCGGTGTGGGATTCAAAATACTTACTGTTTTCACTGTTTCCGAATACAGATATAGACAAATTGGTTTCTGTTAAAGGAATGGTTATCCGGTGCAGTTCTATCATACCTGAAATTAAGGGGGCCTTCTTCAAATGTTTAGTGTGTGGTCACTCGCCTCCGCTAGTTACAGTTGTTAAAGGTGAGCTTCATTCTATCCAACTTATTTCACTTGTCATTATTTCGTCCCTGAAGAAAAATAATATTGCCTGCTTATAGTTACTTACTGTCTGTTTTCAAAACGGATGGCCCGAGATGTAATCGATTCTTACTATTACACGTGTAGGGCGGGTTGAGGAGCCAACAAGGTGTGAAAAGCCAGAATGTGCAGCACGGAATGCTATGTCTCTTATTCACAATCGATGCACGTCAGTACACGTACCATCTTCTTCATAGTAGATGTGTCTGGTTATCGATGACATAATGTGTGCCTAGTTATGGAATTTCTTGTTTACCTTTCGTCAGAATTTTATATGAAGTTTCTCTCATGTCGTTGAGATCTAATATTATTGTCCTGCCCGGAGTTTCCCGTTTATCGATGTTTCCGGGGCCCTAGTGTTCTGTTTTCTATTTCATTTTTCCATCATAACTTGAGAATGTGAAGGAAAGACTCAGAATTCAACTGCAACAGAAGTGGTACTAAAGTATGCTTGGCCAAAGCCGTCGACTATTATTTCTGTAGTTTCAACTGACAGGTTCTCCAATTGTCATTCCATCGTTGGCAGTTTTGCAAATAAGCAGATAGTGCGTCTTCAAGAAACTCCAGATGCCATTCCTGAAGGAGAGACTCCACACACAGTCAGCATGTGTTTATACAACACTATGGTTGATGCTGTGAAGCCTGGAGATCGTATTGAGGTAGTATCTTCTGTCAGAAAACGTCAACTTTTCCCGTACTAGAGTTCGACACTTTGTAGGGCTGTAAATTGTCATCGTTTGGGGAAACCTCTTATCTTCAGTTTATCAAATTGGTTGCCACGGTGGCACTGTTGTACGCAATAAACGTAATCTAATGGCTCGTCGCGTAATCTTAAGCCTCATTTTAAAATACTCTTTTTTTTTTTTTTTGCTCAGGTAACAGGAGTTTTCAAGGCCATGGCAGTTCGAGTTGGTCCGAATCAACGAACATTACGAGCATTGTATAAGGTTATATCTCCCTCCTATCCCAGATTGATCTCTCAAGCAATGATCTTAGGAGCTTCGTGTTTGTATTTCCTTAGCCCGGTGTATCAAAAATATGTTGTAAAGATAGTAAGTAAAGAAGATAATCTTGTCATCTGATCCTTTTATGCAGACCTACATCGATTGCGTGCACGTCAAGAAGTCTGACAGGGGTCGACTGCAAACTGAAGATCCTATGGAGATGGATAAGGAGAATGATATGTATGCTGGGTATCATGAAAGTGATACTTCAGAAGCTGCTAATGAAGCAAAGGTACCAGACATGTCTTGGTCGCTTACTTTATTCTTGTATTCAGTGGTCCTATCTCGGTTTGTGTTCTAGTATCCGTTGAACTTGGCTCCGCTATGTTAGGCCATTGATGTATTGATAGCCGTCTCATGACATTTTGATTAACTTGTCCTTCTATTTCAACCATGGGTGCTGGCATTTTTGAATTTATGGTGTTTTGACTGTAGATTCAAAAACTTAAAGAGCTGTCCAAGCTCCCGGACATTTATGATAGACTTTCAAGGTCGCTGGCTCCAAGCATTTGGGAGCTTGAAGATATTAAAAAGGGTCTTCTTTGCCAGGTTTATTGTGAATTCGCAGTTTTTAGTAGGAATTTAAATGCTTATGACACACATTTAAAATCGTTGTGATCAATGTTATGTTGGATGTCTGACTCGTTCCAAATGTTGTAAAAGACAGAGGGTTTCTTTGTTAAGTGTTTTTGGTTGATTTTGTTACAGCTCTTTGGTGGGAAGGCTAAGAAAATTCCATCTGGAGCATCTTTCCGAGGTGACATCAATGTTTTACTTGTTGGGGACCCTGGTACCAGTAAATCTCAGCTGCTTCAGTATGTGCACAAGATAGCTCCTCGTGGAATCTACACTAGTGGGCGAGGAAGTTCGGCGGTTGGGCTGACAGCGTATGTAACGAAGGATCCAGAAACTCGAGAGACGGTAATGTCCAGTACCTAGTTCTGTTTGCGTTTACTACCTAGAGAAGTGAGGCGGTCATAATTAAAGGAATTGGCTGGGAATTATCTAGTGAAGCTTCGCTGTAGTCAACAGTACTATCAAATGTTTTTATCTATTCAATGTGCTAATTTAAGTAGCCACACATGTTTCTCTTCTTACCTCCTCGCTTTCAAATAGGTATCTTGGATTAGTACTGCCGTTTCTTTAACATCTACTTAGGTGCAACATATTAATACTCACGAGAATGTTTACAGGTATTGGAGAGCGGAGCTTTGGTTCTTAGTGATCGTGGGATATGCTGTATCGATGAGTTCGACAAAATGTCTGATAATGCCCGAAGCATGCTTCATGAGGTATCCTTATCTTTTTATTCTGATAGAATGCGACCCACTTTTCCAAATTTTATCTTTCACTAATATTTTGCATTATGAGGATAGTTATGCTGTACTGGCTTAGGTAATGATTCGCTTATATATATATATATATTTTAGCCTATGAATCTTGCTGCTCGAAACTTTCACTGTCTTACACGAGATTTCAATTTGCGCTTCCAGGTAATGGAGCAACAAACGGTATCTGTAGCCAAAGCGGGTATCATTGCCTCGCTGAACGCTCGGACGTCTGTCCTTGCATGTGCAAATCCTAGTGGGTCCCGATACAATGCGCGCCTTTCTGTGATTGATAACATCCAGCTTCCTCCAACTCTACTTTCTAGGTATCCTTGTTCTACTTAAGTTCATTGATGAACAGAGAGGTTCATAATAAGGTTAATTATAAAAGGTTGATGAACAGCAGTACCTTGGTTCTTGTATGAACAAAGGATCTATTTCATTTAAATGTGTAGAGAAAACTTATTAACTAACTAATGAGCCGATTTTCGGTCGGATGCAGATTTGATTTAATTTACTTAATGCTCGACAAACCAGACGAGCAAAACGATCGTCGTCTCGCCAGGCATCTCGTGGCTTTACACTATGAAAACTATGAAGTACTATCTATCGATCCCTTCTCTCGGATACCTGTTAGTTAATGTAGAAACTGGGAATCTGCTACCATTCAAAACTTCTAGGACGATCTGTTAATCCAGCTTGTCCAGGTTGAATGATTTTGGGTTTGTTTTCATTTGCAGGTTTCAAAGCAGGACGCCTTAGATCTACAAACACTTACCGCGTATATCACCTATGCTCGTCAGCATGTACATCCTACATTAAGTGATGAAGCTGCTGAAGATTTGATTAATGGCTATGTTGAGATGCGCCAAAAGGGCAACTTTCCTGGAAGCAGTAAAAAGGTACACCTCGTTAATCTTTTGCACTTATGGTGGTGCAATTATGAACTAAAGTAGTTTCTGTTAGCTGCAGCTTTTATATACGTTAATGTGTTATAATTTTATTCCAGTTAGACGTCGAAATTTGTAGATCTCTTTTGTTGACTATGATGTTTTCCTAACACTGTCTGCTATTACCTGATGAATGTAAACTTGATACCTATCCGAGGACTTGTTTTCATATACCAACAGTAGCAAGGGCAACAACAGTTGCTTTTGGGATGGAATGAGTTATTAGTCATCTTCATCTTGATAGTAATCCACAACATATGCTCCCAAATGCAGGTGATAACAGCCACACCTCGGCAACTCGAAAGTATGATTCGTATCAGTGAAGCCCTAGCTCGAATGAGATTTTCTGAAGTGGTAAGTTGATTTCATTTTCTTGATTGGGCCTGTTTTGGTTGCCCGTAACTGACGGATTAAAGGGGAAGGGACTGAGGTTTTTTTCAGGCTCCATGAATCTCATTATGTTTTGTGTTATGTTTTTCTTAATTAATCTTGCTCTGATTGTCCATATTTAATGGACAGAAGGGTAAGGGACCTGGATATTGTGCGTTTCTCGTATATTGCTTATATTTTGTGCCCTGCTCTGGACACAGGTAGAGAAAGTTGATGCAGCAGAAGCTGTGCGCCTTTTAGACGTCGCTTTGCAGCAATCTGCTACTGATCATGCAACAGGTAAAGTCGATCAAGTCACTTTCGAAGTCAAAATTAATCCTGTTTGTATGCGGATTTGAAAGGTCTGTTTCCTTATTTTGTTCCGGGTTTGTATCAGGTACGATAGACATGGATCTTATCACGACTGGAGTGTCGGCCAGCGAGCGTATTCGTCGGGCCAACTTGCTAGCTGCTCTGCGAGAGCTTATAGCAGATAAAATTTCACCTGGCAGCTCCTCTGGCTTGAAGACCAGTCAGGTATATTCGACTTCTTTTGATAGATGGTTCTGTCCCTAGTTGACCATGATTCTCACGACTACTGTGGTGGAGTTTTAAACATTCTGGAAATAATAAGTAGCTTGTTGCCTTTTCCAAATTCTTTCTAATGGGAACTATCCTCTTTGGATCTTGTACCATTGCCCCACATGATTTCTCAATTAGAATTTCTTTTTCATGTCATCACCATACAACTTATGTTGCTCTCGACTTTCTCAGCTTCTTGAGGATATCCGGAGCCAAAGCAGTGTGGACGTTAGTTTGCAGGATGTAAGATTTTCCCTTTCAAACTCATTTAAAGTGTTTTGAATGCTACTTTTGATTGAATATGTTTTTTTGTTTAAAGAGTAGTCTCTAATTAAATTTGCCTCTTGACCTCTACGAACGATTGGGACTAGAATCCTACTTGTCTAAACAAGGACAGCTGCGTTTGATTTGAGACTCGCATGTACAATATTTTTGCAGATTAAAAATGCTCTGGGTAGCCTCCAAGGAGAAGGCTTTCTTACTGTCCATGGTGACATAGTCAAGAGAGTTTGAGACAGTTTCTAACTGTTCGAATCCATGAGCTATAACTCTGAACGAAAGGGAAAACCTCCAGTTTCCCATGCGCAATTCCCAGGTAGAAATGCTAAATTCGACTCTTATGAAAGCTGTGCTGGATCATTAAGTAATATGCGGCTTCAAGGTTCATCTCTTCAAACTTTTGGGTGGAGGAATAGTCCTTCTGTTCTCTAGGATTTTAGGTCCGCACAAGAGGATTCTTCCGGGTAGTGTTAAGGCTTAGAGCAGCAACTGTTCTGCAATCCTATGTCTGGATTTTCGTGTACAAATGTGTGTCATTTTTAGTGCTTTCAATTTACGAGTCTTGAATGTTGGCTTCTGTGCTACTGGTGATTTGACTTTGTCAGTGATGATTTTCAGAATGAAGTTATGCCTTCGGTGCATGTTGAAAGCCTTTTTTAGTGTATATTTTTTGGCTTATAATGGCGGAATATGTATTTCCTTCTTTCTTGAGTAAGTTGCAATCCTCTTTACAACACACATTTTTATTAAAGCACTTCTTTCTTGAGTAAGTGCTTTATCTAAAATCGGACTTTTGATTAATTAAAAATTGCTGTGTGTTAACTTGCCTATTTATTTACTTTTAAAAAATAAAATTTATCATATTTATAAATATTTATTTATGCATATATAGTGATAAAATCATGTCAACAAACTATTTACAATTATAATAATTGCATCTACTAAAACTTTTATTATAAGAATAAAAGTATTGCATTTTATATTAATGTATGGTGCACACAAATAGGTACATATTTATAATTTTATACTATAGAACTACATATTTATAATTTTATACTATAGAACTACATTATTATAATTCTATATTACATACTTAAATTATTGTATACATCACACTTTAGTTTATACATGATAAATTTTATTTTTCATTAAAGTTGTGACATATGTTATTCAGGTTTTATCATTGTTATATCATATGTATTATATACAATATATATATTATTAGTATATATTATATATAATAACAATGCTTTAATATTAAATATTTAGTATTCTTTTATTTTTTGTAACAATATATCTTTGTCTTTTTATCATGATTTATTTCATATATTATAATATATGTTGTATTAATTACTTATATTAAAAAAATTATTTTTTTATAATTTTAGAATCTATTGTATTGATTATGTATTAAAATATTTTTTTAAAATATAACATATCTTAGTCAAATATACAATATTTATATTATTATCTTTATTTTGTGATTAAACATGTAAATCTTAGATAGGACTTGCTTTATTGAGGAGATAAATCATGACAAAACCTTAAAAAAATAATTCATTCTTGTATCATTGAAAGAAAGAAAGTAGACAAATAAAAAATAGAGATAAGAGAAAAAGAAATAAAATGGCTATTATCATATCTAAAGTACCTAGAAAATCTTGAAGATAGATTGGAACACAAGAAAAGTATTGACAAGGCAAAAGATGGTCTCAATTTTGCTTCCATATATACTAGTTGTTAAAAAGGTCTAATAGAAGCTTTTTAGGGACTACAAGGCTTGCAGCTCAAGCATCGATTTGTAGGCTATGCAACTTTTTATCTTATTTGTAAAACTTTCTAAAGGTAAGAAACTTACAGAAACTTATAGAAGTTTCTATAAGTCAATAGCCATATGACATATCTATAAAAGTCTAAATATCTAATCTATGTCTAGCTTCTTGAAAAATAAATTTCTTTGAGAACTTATTTTTTTCATTAGACATGTGCATAATATTACTTTTATCTATAATATCATCACTTGTATTTGATAGAAACTTGACAATGTTAATGATGTCATTTAGAATATGAAAGCCAACCACATATAATGCACTTTGTAATAAATAAATTGTCAAAATGTTTTTAGAATATAATATTTTTATTATTTATTTTTAAAATAATATTTTATTAGTTTGTAATAATTTGTATATAATCATATTATGTCATTAAAATATAAAAATATCATTTTATATCAAAATATTTTTAGAATATAAAAAATATCAATTATATCTATTATTACTAATTTTAATAAAATAAATTATATATAATAAATTTTGAAGTTTGTTTATAAATATTTTATTATAACTTCAAAAATATAAAATATTAGAAGAATTATACTTCCAAAGCTCCTAAATCATCAATTTTATTTCTATCAAATTAAAATATAATATCTAATTCTATAAATAAAAATATTTTTAAAACTAAAAAAAAAAGTACAACATATGCAATGCTTATTTTTTTATTATTGCTATTGTTAAGGATATACGATACAAAAGACCAAACAAAAAGTTGAATAGAAGAGTTTCAATAAGAAAGCTAGTATGAACTTGATTAATCTAGATGAGTACAAAGATCAATACTAAGAAAGGTATGATAAAGCTCTAAGAGATGTATTGTTAAGACTAAGGATCTCCTCAGCCTTGATTCTAATATATACTAGATATTAAGAAGCTTCTCAAGAATTTTTTATATTACTTGAAGATAAATCAACCTTAAAAAGCTTCTCAAGAAGTTTCCATATTGCTTGAATATAAAGCAATCTTAGAAAGCTTCTCAAGAAGTTCCTATATTGCTTGAAGACAAAGCAATCTTAAGAAGCTTCTTAAATAATTTCCTTAATCATCTTAAAACTTTTTTAGAATCTATTAGAATATTTTGAAACCTTTTAAGATCTTTTAAAATATTTTAAAAATCCTTTTAAAATCTTTTAAAACATAATAGAATATTCTAAAAATTTTAAAAAAATCTTCTCATTCAATATCCATAATAACACCTTCATTTCTAACTCTGAGTTCTATGAAGAGCATTAATTTCATATCTACAAGAATTCAAGAATTTATTGGACAATAGCTAAAATATATATTATTCATTGATTTCTACTCAAAAATCTAGATTGGTCCACTCAAATAATAATAATGGCCATTTTCTTTTGCTTGTGGAAGATCTATTTTTTGATCTTGGTTAATATTAAGGCATTCAAAACATCCATGAAAAGTAACTTCAGCTCCATTAGGTTCTACTGTACTAACTTGCAATAAAATGATCAAAGCTCAAATATCATCTTAGAGATTTTCTTGTTTAAGCTAATTGTAGTATAGACGTTTCTTCCTTTAAAAAGGTCTAACTTCATCTAGAGGGTGACTTTGCAAAGGACATACTTGATTGAATTTGCTTGACAAAGGTTGAATCAATAGTGACTGTTGATTTTATTGCTCAAAGATGAAAAATCTTTGGCTTCAAGAGGATTATTATTAATCTTTTTTGTAGTTTCTTTGTTGATCATTGATTATTAACATTTTTGATCATTGTAGCTTCTTTGTTGATCAAAAGTTGCATTTTTTTTTTTTTTTTTTTTTTTTTTTATATACAAGATAAGAACTTTTAAAAAGGGCATCTAAAAAAACTTGTTATTTTCCAAGTTGATATGTAATCTTGAAATCAAATCTTAATAAAGATATGCTTCAATGAACTTCACAATGATTCAAAATATGTACTAATATAAAATACTTGAAGTTTTTGTGATATATATATATATATATATATATAGTGACTGGACTAGAAGTACCTTATCAATAATAACACTATTCTTAAAATGAATCCATAATTGCAAAAAGCTCTTTCTCATGGATTTCATAGTTAATCTTGTTTGTTCAAAATTTCTTAGAATGAAAAGCTATTGGATGGAGCTTATCATGTACTCCCATTTGTAACAAAACAACATCCAGAGCAAAGTCTGATGTGTCTATTTTTATGAAGAATGTCTTCAAAAAATTGATGCAATAAAAAATTGGTATAGAAATAAATGATATCTTTAAGGCTTCAAAAGACGCTCCAACTTCTTTAATCTACTTAAGTTTTTGTTTACATATCAAGCATATAAGAAGGACCACAACTTGAAAAAAATTCCTGATGAAGATCTGATAATAATTGAAAAATCTCAAAAAATATTACATATTTCTAATTCTTTTTGAAATCTTCCTATCTACGATAGTTTGGACCTTTTTAGAATCCATCACAAGACCATTATTTAAAATGATGTATCCTAAGAAGTCAACTTAAGTAGTGTAAAATATAAACTTTTTTATCTTTTGCTTATAATCCTACATCTCTTAGTTTTTGTAATACATGATAAACATGAAGTTCATGCTCTTTTTTATTCTTATAGTAGATCAAAATATTATCTTAATAATAGATAATAAAATTGTCAAGAAATTTACAAAAAATATTATTTATTAGAGTTGAAAAGTAATTGACACATTTGTGAGTCTAAAAGGCATTATATTATATTCAAAATGTCCATGCTTAGTTTGAATTGTAATTTTTTATTAGTCTCTTTCTTTAATATGAACCAAATTTTATATTTTTTATAGATCTATTTTTGTATTGATCTTTGCTTGATTCAATTAATCAAGAAGTTTTGAAATTAAAGGCAGATAGTACCTATTTTTTATGGTGATTTTGTTGAATCATTAATAGCCCATACATATCTATAAAGATTTGTCTTTTTTCTTTGCAAATAAGATAGAAACTCTAGCTGGAATTTTAAAATGGTGTATGAAGTTTTTAGCTAAATTTTCATCAATGTATTTTTTGAATACAACCAACTCATTTTGTAATAAACTATAGATTGGTTTAAATGGTGGTTGAGCTCTTTCTTAAAGATCAATGGAACAATCATAAGAACGATGCTCTAGAAGAATATATATATATAAAACGTCTTGATAATCTTGATATTGGATTGGAATGCTATTTAAAATCTTTTTCTATCAATAATAGGTATGGCATATATAACAGAAGTTGATACTTCTTTTGCAATATGCATGAAAGTTCTTGTACCTATCAATAATGGTTTGGATATATTGTTCTTATGGATTTTTACTTGCTTAGCAGAATCTTAGGTTAAACTATGGAAAAAATCAAGATTGTGAAAAATCCAATCTATTTGAAGGTTATATCTTTCTAATCATGATTATCCTAAAATAATTAAATTAAAAAGAGATCTAATTATATTAAATATTATTAAACTATTATAACCACTAGTTGCTACTTCTATAGGAATAGTTTCATGTGTAACATTCCTAAAAGATAATGAATAACTATCTATTTCTTCTACATACACAGATTTGATTTTGTTAATTAAAGATATATCATATTTTTTGACAAAATCTTTGTCTATAAAATAGATTGAGGCTATTGAATCCAATGATATAAAGATTTTATGATTTTTTGGTCCTAAACCAACTTCTATTATAAAAGAAGGTGAGGATTCTGAGAGGAGAATAAGAACTTTATTAAGAATTGCATAAGATTCCAATCTCACAATTCCTATTATAGTTAGAAAAACTTGTTTTTTGACACATCGTCTTCTTTGGCAACCATGCTTCTTATTTAGTG